CACTTACGACAACGTACATATCAAAAAAGGAATTATCAAATCATTATATGATAGAGTCCGAAACACTTGGAAAAATGAAAATGGATTTAAGGAAGAAAAATACCTGCTAACCAAGGTTTTGACAAAAAATGAATACCCATTGTCATTTATAAACAACAAATTTCACAATATTAAATAAAGGAAATAACAAAACACCACAAACAATGGAAAAATACTCACAAGAAGGGATTCAAAGATGACAATACCGTAATATGTAAAGGGCTTATCAGAAAAACTAAAAAGGATAGAAAATAAATAAATCACTACAACATTCACAACCAACACACAAGAAAGAAAGATCAAAGAACTGCATCTATAAAATACCCCGTGAGTGGGTATTTTATAGATGCAGTCCCCCACATAGAACAATTTCTATGTGGGGGATAACAACGCCTTGCCTTTCTTCCACAAGACCACAAAACCTTGGGAGATGCATTCTCTCAACGCCTCAGGGTGGAATAACCTCCTTTAGTCACCTAGCACTTGGTTAACCATACAGTTAAATTTAGGAAGCCCGGCCTATAGTTTTTGCGCAGGAATCGAACCTGAGATCCTGCTTCAGGAATTTCTTCAGAAGCTGTCAAGATGGCTTATTTACATCAATATTGGCTTCTGGGAATCCTGCTAGTGCTTTCGCAACCTTAACAGAAACGGTAGCTTCGCTGAAAAACACATCCTCGGTTCTTGGCTTTTTCCCTTTTCGTTGGCTCTCAAGAGGTGTGCTTCCATCTGACCTTATCCTTTTTGGACCTTTTGCCTTCTGAGCTGGTTTTTGTCATGGCCCTAATGGCTGTGACAACTCTTTCACCCTTGCAGCAGCCTGGTAAAATTGGCCGTAATTACAGCTTTTTTGGCTTGCATGTAATCTTGGCCTTATTTGACCAACCTTACTGTTTTTAGCTTTAGAGATGCCAGATAGCTTCATAGCCTTAATATTTTTTGTCTATCGTAAGATCAACGTCTTCCAACGCTGTTTCTCTGACAAACTTAGTGGTTCCCTGCCTTTCAGCATGGAAGGTTTCTTTAGAACTTCCTGGCCTTTTGGCATTTGGAATTTCTTTAGAAGTTCCCTGTCCTAGGCTTTAGGAACTGTGATTTTCCTGGCTCCTAGCCTTTCTGCCTTGGTAGCGCTTTGGCTCTGAGCTTTTTCTTTTTTATTTCATTTGTCCATATGGGTCACACGAGTAGCCAAGGTAAGACAGTCCATCTCCCGCAGAGCCCCGCTTGCGAGGGTAAGGTCTTAATATGATGGGGTGCTAAAGGAACCATTTGCGACACTGTAACTCTAGTACTTTACAGCCTTCACTATGGTGTCTCTGGGAACATATCTCAATCTAAAAGCTGCATTTATTAGGTGTGTCAGCTTAACTATGGCTTTTCTTGGTAGATTTTTTAATAGTTCTTCTGTTATGAGATCATATCCTGGAGCTTTCTTAGGATTTATGTCTCGTTTATCTCTGTTGATACTTCTTTAAATTATGTCAACGTTATTATTTCTTCGGTTTGAAATGGTTCTTCACCAACATTGAGTTTGAACGTGCTTTCTAATGATCTGCAAATCGTTCTGCTTTCTGTGCGTTACTTCTAGCCCAGTTGCCGTTTTCCAACTTGATAGCAGAAGAATAAATAATTCTCTTCATTTTTTGTTGCGTTCAATAACCAATCGTGATTTGAAGATGTAATTTTAATTACAATCAATTGTGGCTTAACCCCATATATACCTACCATGCCGACATCCACAACAAACAGTTCAGAACTTTTTTAAATGTCGCATACTTTACTTAGTAACAAGACTTTTATTGAACTCACATACTTTGACTATACAATTATTTAATATTCCTGAAGAAAAAAATATAAATTTTAAATACTATATGAAATATTTATCTTCATACGATGCAACGTTGATTACCCACCTTTGTAATCTTTAAAAGCCACATTCTATATTTCTTATCGTAAAAGGATACACAAACATCCGCTTGCAGATATCGATTTTGACGCTCTTACGTAAAATACACGCGGTAAACCAACGCAAATATTTTTTAAATCCTTTCAAGACTATGTATGCATTTAGAGCATATCTTTCCCATCTATCGACGCTCAACAAGGTATAAGCTTAGTTACAAAACGATTGACGCAAATAATATATTTTTGGACGAAGACCTTCATTTTGTTCATATAACTAAACAGGTGGATGAAATACAACTTTAATTTAAATTGAATTTTTCTACAAAGACGATAAGTGGATAATCAAACCTACTCGAGTCTATATACTGCTTCTAATCTTCGTGTTTGGGGCTGTGTGTATAAACTTAAAATTTCTGAGATTCTACTATTAGTACAAGTTTTCCACGTTCATTAAAACTTTTAGAGCCTCCATAATGTTTTGTTTTTAAGTCATCATCATCATTAGCCATTTTGCGTCCACTGCTGAACATAGGCCTCCCGTAAATAATTCCATTGCATCCGATCTTGAGCAACTTGAATCCATTAGACTGGATGCGCTTTAAATCGTCCGACCACACTTGTTGGAGGACGTCCTCGACTACGATAAGCATCGTGTCTAGGCCTCCACTCTAAAATTTTCTTTGTCCATCTTCCATCTCTGACCCTAGCAACATGTCCTGCCCAGTTCCATTTCAGGCTTGTAATTCTTTCAACTGCGTCCGTCACACAGTTTTTCTCCTTACTATCTGACTCGAAACTCTGTCCCTGAGTGATACGCCCAACATTGACCTCTCATCGATCTCTGTGCCACTTGTATCTTATTAATTACTTTTCTGGTAAGTGTCAATGTTTCTGCTCCATATGTCAGAACTGGAAGTACACACTGATCAAAAACTTTTCTCTTCAAGCACATGGGAATAGCTGATTTAAAGACTTCCCTCAGTTTTCCGTAAGCTGCCCATGCCAGTCCTATTCTCCTTTTTAACTCTGTTGTTTGATTGTCTCTTCCCAATTTAATCTCGTGGCCCAGATACTTATAGGAATACACTTGTTCAATTTGCGTGCCATTAGTGGAAATGTTTTTTGCCAGTACCAGGTTGGTCATGTATTGTGTTTTGGAAAAATTAATTTTAAGGCCAACTCGAGTTGGCCTTAAAGTTGTTTTTAAGTAATTATTACAAAATGAAAGTCAAATAAATTTAAACTTAGTTAAACTCAATTTTATTTTCCTTCCTTCTTCTTCTTCCTTTTTGTATGTAGGCTTTAAAGCTTGTTTCTTCTTCAATATTAGCTACTATTTAACTGGGAATAAGCCACAATTAAAGATAAAAAAATACGTTTATTGGCGTTTCAATTTCCACTTCGGAAATCGTTTTCAAAATACAAACAGTAAATTAAACAAATTTTGTTTTTTGTTACATAGTGAAAAATTCTTCTAATAATTTAATTTTATCTGATTCATTTATATTGGCAATTCAGACATACATTATGCATTTTAAAGTAGACGACTTTAAAATGATATTGCCATATTGTTGAGTTGCGCTCCTGGGACGACTTTACTTATAAGATAGTTCATTCGATTACATGAAATCAACTTTAACTTGAGAATATCCGTCAGAAAAAACATAGCATGTAATTCGTCTTTATAAAGACAAACACATGACATGATGACAGTAAATTCTCCTGTTAGTGATTCCATAGTAAATTATGAGGGAAAAACCAGGAAAAAAAACCTCATAATACTATCCCGATAGGTAAGTATTTATTCGTGCATTTAGTTTACCTTCAATTAATAACCAAAATATTCTGATTTTATATGTTTCGATATTTAAAAAACATAAATGATGTATTATCCTCTATATGTTACTGACTTACTAATACTGGTATTTTCTTATTAATAACTTCCTCTTTCAATATTGGTAACCAGATCTACTACATTCTGCCGAGAATTTGCGACACAATTGGCCTCATTTAGCATAATTAAAGCCGCTTCTTTGATTTTTCTTTTTTTATACATCCGTCTCTTTTAGGACTACATTTGAATTATTCCATTGAACCCTATGTTCATTATCCCATGCGTGTTTACATATTTGAGATCTATCAAATTCTCTATTTTTAATATAAGACTGATGTTCACTTATTCTAACATTTAATGGCCTTGATGTTTCACCTAAATAAAACTGATCGCATTCACAAGATATTAACCGAAAACAACAGAAGAAAACTGGAGGCAGTAGAAATGGACGCTTTTAGAAGATCAGTAGGAGTGTCACGCAGAGACAGAATACGTAATGATGAGATAAGACAGCGAATGGAGGTTGACGGCTCTCTAACAACAGACGTAGAAAGAATACAGCTGATATGGTACGGACACGTCCGGAGGATGGATAACTCAAGACTCCCAAAAATAATTATGCAATGGGTACCACCAAACCGCAGAAAGAGAGGAAGACCCAAGAAATCTTGGAAGGGAGGGAGGGGAAGGTGATGAGCGCAAGAGATCTTAGAAAGGACCAATGGGATGATAGAGTGTCATGGAAATTAGGCATCGGACAACTTCGCAAGACGTTTTAAAACCTATATATATATTGTTAAACATTAAATAACTAAGTTATGTACGATAACTTTTTAAATGACAGATCCTTTTTTTTAAATAATAAGAGTTGTAGTTCTGTTTGTTATCGGTTCACTACCAAAAGAAGATTCTACCACTAGAAACTAATTTACCTCAAACAGTCTAAGCAACTTATCGCTAATTACTTATCGTCAATAATGATAAAAATATATCCTGTCTTTTAAAATATTATCAAACAAAATTTACGTTCCAAAAATATAATCATGACTACACCGCAATTCATAAAACGACATTCATGAAATAACAGGAAGCTTAAATATATTGATATTAGACTGATGATGCAGTGCTTGTAGATAAAACTTATAAAAGGGAGCTGTGTAAAACCAAAAAAGAGGGCTTAATACAAGAGCCAAGATATTTGAAAAAATTTTCAATGGTTAACATGATTGGTAAGCAGTTAACACCAGAAACAGAAATAACGATCATTCGGATTTTGTCGTTCACTCTATTTGAGACAGTTTAGAAACCACATTACAAAAATGAATAAGAAAATGCTCTATGTGAATGCCAATAAATGATAGGACTCTAGTACCTTATGTTTTCCAGACCACCATATTGTATAAGATCGTATAAGATTGTATAAGATCGAACAAAATCATGACTTAAATGATGTGTTAAGAAAATTTGTCGAGGAATACTCAGAAGATATATTTAGAGGAATACCTATGCATCGGAGGTCAACAACAGTAATTGGTACTATAAGAAAATCAACAAGAAGTAAGATCTTAGATAGAATATAGCTATTTGGAAATAAAAAATCACAGGACAATCAAGCAACAAAACATACACGTTAGCATAAATTTCCTAAATATGCTGTTATTGAACCAAACCGTCCAAGTATAAGGCCTAGAGCTGCACAAACTAACTTCTAAGGGAAACTAGTGATATTTAGAAGGGAAATAAATACGGAGAAAAAATATGAGAAATAATTGAAATTGAAGAAACTATCACACTATATTTCCATGTCCTTATGACATGGAAATATACGCAGCATGGATTTAAGTAGGATACCAAAACAGGTTCTGGAACAAAAGCCAGGAGGAGAGAAGGAATTTATGATAAAGAGGGACCTAGATGAGGAAGAGATGGGAAATTGGAAATCGGAAGACATCTGAGAACGTTTTAACCCAAATAAATGGTGAGAACGATCAAAATAGCATGAATTTACTTCTGATAAACAGAAACATCCAGAAACATGATCCCTGCAGTGGAATAGAAAGAATAATATTATCGCGGTGTCTATAAAGACGAGACATGAATACAGCTGAACAATTAAAAAACAGGTTGTTAAGTTAAGAACTGTCTCTCTTTCTCTTTATTTGTTTGCTGTGTTTCGCTAATAGTAATATAAAAATAATTACTGACTTTTCAGT